AGCTTTCATCATTCACATGTTATTTCATCGTGTTGCTCTGTTTTGAGTATTTTCACATTTCAGCTGCTTTTCTCTCACCTCATAGGCATTTTAGTCACTCTAGCAAAACTTAGAAATTCCATATTCATACCTCATCACCATTTGGACATTTTACTTATTTAGATTCCGTTATGTCCTTTTGATTTTCAGAAGGTATTTTCTGGTTATTTTTCCTATTTCTAACCCTTAACTTTTTTTTGTTTTAATTAGGGTATTTTGATATTTTCATTTAAAAAAATTGTGGGCCTCACTGCTTAAAAAATAAATGCTTGTTCATTGATGATGCCTCTATTGTTAAAGCACTCAATTAAACTAGGTCCCAATTAATTTGTAATTTAGGGTTGACCTAAGTCATTACTTCTAAGGAGCAAGTTATGGGTTTCTTTAGGTAAAAATTTAGGTGATAAAAAAAATGCAATAAATTGGACCTACACTAAAATGCAAAATTCTAATTCTAAATAGAAAATGCAATTGTCCTAAAATCCATATGAAAATTAATTAAACTAAATGAATGCAATGCAATTTTGGGGGGGATTTTTTGGAAAAAAATTAAAATAATAAACAAGGAAAATTGACTAAAGAGCAAAGAAAATTAAGAAGTTTTCTTCGGTAAGGTAAAGATGACAACTTAGGATTCGCATGAATTTAACCTTCATAACCTTAATTAGTTAATTAGACCAAAGGGAGGTGATAAGAGAGTGGAATTAATAAACTTAATTACCTACTTGAAATAAAGGAAACTCTCGATTTTAAAACCCTTAAACCATTAGAGAACTCATAACAGTGTAAGGATAGCTAATTAAGCTTATTAAAACCAATGAAAATAATTTAAATTAATTCTGGAAATTATGTTTGAAATTATGCAATTAAACAATCAAACAATTAACCAACTTAATTAAACAATTAAGAGGCAAAAGAATCTAAATTTTGCAATTCAAACCACATTGATAATTAAGCTCATAATGAAAACTCAATTATAAATTCGATTAACAATACAAGGGTTCATAAACATAAATTCCATCAAATGTCTCAACACAAGTAAAATCCAAATGTCAATCCAATCCAAGAATAAAAGTGATAATCTAGAACTAAATTGTCTCACAAAATTACAACTTAAAATTATTTAAAACTAAATAATTTTAAGTCTTTGAATTAAAAAGATAAATGAAATATCACTCCCTTATGGTCTTCAAGTGCTAGCCCAAGGCTCAAGTCTCCTCCATACTCCTCTCAAGTTGCCTCCCTAACAAGCTTAAGTCTCCATGAAAATTATCTTCCCTCCAAAGTCATCCGATGTCACGGCCATGAGGAGTAAAGAAGAGAAAATGATTATTCCGTGGAGATGAAGTGGATCCTTGCACAGGGGAAAAGATGAGCGTGAGAGGGAAATAATTGTTTCAATCCCCCTGGTCGCCACGTGACATGAATAAAGGGAATATATGGGCCGAATGAAATATGGTGCAAACCGTGAATGGAGAGTGAAAAGAGTGATCCTAGGCGTAGGCTGGAGGGATTATTTTAATGGGAGAAAAGGAAATTTTCTTGATCCAAAACTCAAGCCCATTAGTAATTAATTGACCCACTTGATATCAGCCATTAGATTGTACTTAGATTCCAAGAAACAATCTTACACCATTGGATTTCTCATATGCTCTTTCTTGACCTATAAGAATTTAAGTGCATCCATTAATGTAGATTATATCCAAATATAATATAATCTATATCAAAATTAAATATTAGATATATACAAAAATTAAGCAAGAAATTGCAAAACTTTCTAGAAATAATCTTTCTAAAAATATGAGACTTGTTTCTGAAGAAATAGAAAAAATTAATTCCAAGTCAAAAATAGGAAATCCCAAAATATTTATATTTTTAATCCAAAATCCCAATTTTTTATGAAAAATCCAAAAAATCAACCAATTAATCTAATAATGCATAAAAATCCATTTAAACTCAAAATTATCATTTAAATCCTAAATTAATGTGGGATAAAATGTATAAAAATTGGGCTTTATCATTCATTTTAACCAAGTTTATATAATTGAGCTCTTTTTACATTTGGATTAAATGATTTGAATCCAAAAAAAAAAATTTATGATGATGGGTAAACTTTTAAACGGAATGTTTTCATGGTTAATTTTTAGTCTTGGGCATTTTCGAGTATAGTCATTTCAAATGAGTTGGAAGGATTTAAAACCCGGACGCACAGTCGGACCAATCTGGCAATCATCCAGTCACCTCATTGCCTTGATTTGCAGCTTTGGACTGTCTGAGCAGTTGAGCTGTTTATAACTGGTTTTTGAGCCGGGATTCGGATTTAACCTGGAAACTGGAACGGTTTGATGAAAACCAGATGACAGCCGAAAAAGAAAAAGAAAGACGAAGGGGAAAAGGAAGGAAAAGTTAAGCAGAAGGAAATATAAGAAGGAAGAATGAAACCTTGACGTTCCTGCATATCTATGGCTGTCCTCCCTAATCAAGAGCATCAAATATAAGCTATTATTATCAGTTCCTAATATAAAAACTTATTTAATTTTTATTTTGATTCTAAATATAAGACTACAATCTAGTTTATCTCTCATATTTATTTATTGTTTTCTAAGATAGGCTTTGGTAGTGTTGATCAATACATTTGATTAGCAAAAATATTTTAGAAAAGATAATACATATTTATTATAAATAACTAACTTAATTAGTTTTTTTTAATCTATTCAAATTAGTTAACTAGTTTTTATATTAAGAATTATTGATCGTATTTTATAAGAAAGAAAGAAACAAAAGAGCAGCAGCAATGGGGATGAACAGATAGGAAGAAGAAGAAAGAAAACGTCGAGGAGAGGGAAAAAGAGAACATAAATATAGAGAGGCTTTTCTTTTCCAGATTGCGTGTTTAGACTCTGGCCTATACTTTCTTAGACTCTTGGCAAATGGCAAGTGTGTTTTGATTTAATATTCATTGGACAAAATTACATTATAACTATAATTTAATGTTAATATAATCTTTGGTTTCTTATTTTGGTTTTAGTCCTTCAATAGATAAAATGATCTAACTTTTTAGTGGATCATAAGGACTAATATTATAAATAAAAAGAAATTTAAAAGACCAAAACCTGTAATTTGAAACTTAAGATACCAAAATCAAAATGAAGACGAAATTAAGGGACTGAAATTTGTATTAACCCAATAATTTATTAAAAATATAGACACAAATCCTCCATGCGGAACCACAAAAAGATAAGTCATTCTTTTTGTTTCTTTTTCCACTCTTTATAATTTTAGTTTTATAAATTTTTTAAAGTATTGTTTAACTCATTTTTATTTTATCCAAATAACTAATATAAAATAAAGATATATTTTTATTATATTACTACCAATAATTTGTTGTGATATATATTATTATATAAGCTTGTTAATTTGTTATGAAATTAAACTGTTTAAGTTTATTTTTTAAAATTATTTAATAACTTCATATCATATACACTAGTATATAAATATATAAATATTTTTTATTTAATTATTACATGATCCGTGGCCCATTCTCTTCTTCGGCTCAACGTCCAGTCCAGATTTGAAAACATTGCCCTTGACTCATTCATTCATCATGGTGGCATGAGTGTTTAGAATGGGTCCAAATATGAATGTGCTTCAATTTTTGTGCAGAAGATTTTTGCCCCATTTCTTTTCTTTCTTTTGGTTTTCCATTTTTATTCACTACAGAAGATATTTTTCATCCCCAAATTATTTATATTTATATTTATTATATGTATTATATATGTACAACAAATATTTACTTTTCCGCCTTTATTTGCAACAGTGGATAAGAATATTGCGGAATTAATAATTTATATATGTAATTAAAAATTATACCAAAATAAAGGTTTTGAACTTAATAGTCACACTATGATTCAAAATTATAAATGGTACTCCTTTCATGCTTAAATAAAAGAGCCAAATAAAGATGTCTACTTTGATAATAAATATAAAATCTCAATTTATTTTATTTTTTAATTTATAATTTTTTTTCTAAACTCTGTCTATTAATTTACACATATTAAAAAGATTTTTCATTAAGAGAGTAATTTTCAATACATATAATTAAAAGGAGTACTTAAAAAAATAACAAAATTTTTTCATAAATAACTAAAAATTTATTTTTAAAATTTTAAAAATTAATTATCTAATTTTTATATTTAAAAAATCAATGAAGATAGCTTAGCTGCAGCGGAGGAAGTGCTCTGCGCTGAAGTGCTACAAAGAAAGCTCACCATACGGAGAATTACTCTCTCGCAAGCTTTCGCTTTCCATACATCCAAAAAAAAGCAAAAGAATATATTAACTCTGTCGTAGCCGTAAGAACTCATTTAACTTATAAATAAAATCTTATAATTAAGATTCAAGATAGTATAAAGACAGAAATATTATCTTGTATAATACCGTATAATACCACATCTGATCTTTAATATAAAAGCTTATTTGACTCTTATACTGGTTCTAAATGTAAGACTTTAATTTATTTTATCTCTCGTGTTTATTTATTTTTTTTCTTAAAGTAGTACTTGTAATAATAATAGTTTTAACCAATACATTTAATTAGTAAAAATATTTTAAAAAATACAATATACATTTATTACAAACAACTAATTTAATTAGTTTCTTTAATCTATTCAAATTAGTCAACTAACTTTTATATTAAGGATTGAAAGTAATATTAATCAAATTCAAACCAAAGCAAAAAAAAATTCACTAATATTACATGTATACGCTAGATAACTAATTAATTTATAAAAATTAAGAAAGTTAATTTAAGTTCATTAGTTTGAGAAAAAATGTGTTAATTTTTTTAAAATACTTCTTTAATCATATATATCGAAAGCTACCTTATTGATGGAGACTCCCTTAACACATGGAATCAATAGGATTATTAAAAAAAAAAATACAAATTTAGGGGACAAAATAACTTAAAATTAAAAAAAAAATCTCTTAACAAGCTCCCACATTTAAGATCAGAGAAAATAATAACAGTATTCATACATTGCAGTTAATCCATGCAAATCCAAGAAAACAACAACATTGATCCATAGGATACAGTTCATACAAATTGAAATGTTCCCATATTGAGTCTTTTGCAAACTAAACTAGGAAAACCAGAACTAGTCAACTCCAATAGTATCCAATAAAATCAAAGATGGGGCTCTATAATATTCACAATCCATCATCACCTGTTATATATATTGGACAATAGTTAATACAAATGATTATGTACAAAAATATTCTTCCAGTCTTAAATATAAGAACCATTTTATAATATAATTTACACTATAAAATAAGTCTTATATTTGGAACCGGAGGGAGTAATAATATGACTGAACCTAATTCCATGTTCCTAATTTGATGTTCATAATTCAAATTCTTGTGAGGAAAAAAAAAAACAGATAGAGCAATACTCAATTTAATTTTAACAAAGATGGTTGTAAAACAGTGACAGTTGAGCCAGTCTAAGGGGGTGTTTGATAAAACCAAAACCACGGTTTCAGAATCACTTTTCCGCAAAACGAAGTAACCTCCTCCACATATTTACTTCGTAATCCGTAAAAGCACTTCTGAAACCATGGTTTGATTTCTATCCAAACACTCCCTAAGGATAAAAGTCAGTATTCCAATGTCCAAAAATATTGTTCCAAGAAAACGACAAAGGATATAAATGCCCGGGAGTTTATGTTGGACAAAAGCTTCAAGCCTGATTAGAAGTTTTCAATTCTTCATACGAGACATTAAAAATTAAGCCCATTAAAATAATAAGAGCATTTCTTATCAAAAAAAATAATAATAAAAGCATAAAAATAAAATAATATGGGTGATTAATTATGAATAAAGGTTCAGGTTCAAACTCAAACAAATAATAGAAATAGAAAAAATATTAAAAAATTTTACTTTTTATTTTTTTTTGGTCACTCTTCAACATTATCCTCTCATTTAATTTATCATATTTTTTGTGATTTTCCTTCTCTCGCTATGATGTTTTGAGGCATAAAAATATATTTTGTAATCTAATTATATTATTTTATTGATAAAAATTTCTATTCAAATATCCGTGTTTCAATTTCAAATAACTAATTATAGTATGCACATAGAAGTTAAGAAAATGACTGACTCATTATTCTAAAAACAATGAAAGCAAACAAGGAAATATTAATATGATTAATCAAACTAAATGAGACGAAAAGGGGAAACTAAATAAAAGGGAAGAATATCATACCAGGCTAATTCAAATTACGATGTCCCAAATGCAAAAGAAGTAAAGACCATGACCAAATAAATCTGCGACAATATACAGGTAATTAATTATAAGTTATAATTAAATACGAGTAAAAAGACTAAGGCGCTAACTAGAATGAATGAATACCTTTACCGAAAAAGTAGTCTTCAATACGGTGAAGGACGAAATTTAGACTGGAAAGTGGATTTAATAGCGGGGTCATCCCACTCTAAGTTGTCCCACCAGACTTGAGATCCCCCGATACCTCTCAACTTAGCATTGGCAGAATTGGAATCAAAAGGCAACTTCTTCAGCTCCTTACAGTTGTACACCATAATGGATCTTAGGAAAGGGAAAGACAGAACTCTCTCATGAATTCTCCTAAGATTTGGCAATTTGAATAATGTCAGCTCTACAAGAGAAGGGAATATGGTATCTTTCTCATCTTCTAATATTTCTCCCTTTATCACTTCTTCTATTGACGAGCACTGTCCAACAGAAAGTTCTTGAAGGAGCGGAGCATACTTCAACCATGTCAAATGATGTATTGTATTGACCTCTAAAATTTCCACAGTTCGAAGCATGGATAGACAACACGTGTCATAAATAGAAGGATCCATCTTAGTAGGCAAAAATTCCAAGACAAGACGCTGCAGGTGCTTCATTTTTGACATGGTTGCCACTAATGATGGCATGTTAATTTGAAAACGGAGAATCTCAAGGCCATATATGGAGCTCTGTAACTTGGCTGATTTAAATAGTACGTTGAGGCTACTCTCAGATTTAATTTGCACCCATATTTCCCCTAAGTTTGATGATTGCTCCAGCTCTTGAAATGTTTTCTCTTCTTCCTCATCTATGCCAGTTACACGGGTGTCAAGTCTATACACCTTCAGTTGATGAAGATTTGATATTAGTCCTAAAGGAGTATCATCATCAGCAATTAAAAATAAGTGAAGAACCTTTAGTTTTTTCAAATTCTTCAGCTCTCTCCAAAAGTCTGATGCATTCGTTAATTTGAATATTTCCAATGATAGATATTCCAAAAGATCTAAGCCACCTATTTCTGCAGCAGGTACATTTTTCACTCTGCGTAGTTCCAAGACTTTTAATTGCCTGGCATGTTGGATGTTTTGTAATCCATTTACTGCGACAAAACCACCGCCATCAAACTTCAGTATTAATGTTATGAGATTTGGCCAAGTTATGCCTTGTAATTGTATACACGATTCATTCGCACGTCTAGCACTATTCATGAGGGCAATCCTTTCAACCATTTCCCAATTTTCAACATTAGCTTGAGACAATGCCCGTGCATCTTCTTGTACTATAACTTTCTTTTTGTTTCTATCTTGATCTCGGGCTATCCATAATGCCATGTCACGAATGACATCATGCATCTTAATTGAGAGCTTCATAAAGATATCACCTTCAACATACTCTAATAAGCATGATAGCTTCAAGTTGTCAATTATGGATATGCCATCGTCACGCATTTCATGTACACTTCTCATCCCATTGTTATAAAGAAATCCCTCCCCTATCCATTTCTCAATGAGATCGTCCACTTGAATCTCATAATCCTCTGGGTATAACGCACAGTATAGGAAACACTCTCTGTGTGTTTCGTCTAGTTGATCATAGCTAAACTTGAGGATAGAAAACACCTTTGCCCCCAAATTTGAAGCTGTGCGTCGAGAACTTAAATTATTCTTTGACTGTTCCCATGTTTGCACGCTTTTCACACCAGCCATGGCGCTTCCTATCACAGTTAATGCAAGTGGCAGCCCTTTACATTCTTTAGCCATTTCCTTTGCTATCTTTGGAATGAGAGGGTCAGATATTAGAGTTTCCTGGCCAACTTTCATACAAAATAACTCTAACGCTTCTTCCTCTGTTAGAATTTTAACTTCAAATTTTTTAGCATCCATTCCCGCACACACATCCTCAAACCGTGTTGTAAATAATACTTTGGATTGAAAATTAGTTTCCTTCGGATGTGGTACTCCCACCTTTTCCAAGTCCAATCTCTCCCATATATCATCTAATAACAAGATGAATTTTTTCCTTTTTAGGAATTCGTAAATCTTTGCTGCCTTTTCATCTTGGTTACTACAACGCTTCCAACTGTCATCTTCAATCCCCAACAATTTTCTGATGTTGTCCATAATATTATCCAAGTTGAGACTTTTGGACACCACCACCCACATAATGTAAAAACAAGATCTCTTCGCAAGTTCATTATTAATTTTCTTTAGCAAGGTAGTCTTTCCTACCCCGCCCATCCCATATAAGCCAATCATTCCAACATCTTTTTCTTCAATACTTTTCCATACCTTATCAAACATTAAATCTAAGCCCACTGTCTCACAAGAAGGCATCTCAATTGACTTACGTGGACACCTGTGCGCAACTTGAAAATCTTTACAAAACCCTTCCCCTTCAGTTTTTAGTTCATCTATATTCCGCAGGATCTTGACAACATTCTTCCCTAACTTGTACCTTGACATGCAATTCTTTGGACAACATTTACTTAGACATTTGTTTTGAATTTGGTCAGTTCCACGCGATTGAATATCTTTTATTTCCTGTGAATATAATATTGTTAATTAGCTTCACAATGTCATCATTCTATACTTTCAAATCAAATTTGAATGTACAGGTGGTAATTAGATCTTGAACATGAGACCACGCATACAGAGATGTGTGCGTGTGTGTATTACATTCTTGTAGACAAGAATAGGCATGCTTCGTTTGTTAGTACAATAAGGTTGAGAAAATAATTAATTTTCTTATTCAGAATCTATTTATAATGTATTTTATGTGAAGTATAGTTCCCATTATATATCAATGAAATAAATAAATTATATACAAAAAATAACCGTAAAATCTAACTAACACGACCTATTTCGAATATATTGAAAAATTAGTTTAAGAATTAAATAATAAAAGTTTAAGAAAATTAGTTAACCAGTAGTGAAAGCAAGAGGGTGTGCACTATGTCAGAGGACATATAACTGAAAATACACAACACTGGAGGGAGTAATAATTATCAAATGGATGCAATTAATGGACTATGAAATTAAATTAAAATTCAATAATAAATATAACTTATAGTATGTACCTGTTGAGTTTTCTCGACTCTATTCAGCCAGCCGTTAACTCGATGAGACCTCTGCCTACCTCCCCGATTTTCTTCTTCTTCGATAATTGCTTCCACATCCTTCTTCATGTCTTCAAGCTTCTCTGATTTTTCTTTGAGCAACTGCAGATTGTCTTCCAAGTCAAAGACATAAGCAGCCTTTTTGTTGAGGTAACCACAGCAACACTTGGCGGCATCCCATATGGCGGAAGATGCTGCTTCCATAATTAAGGATCTTATCAGAGCCTCAGGAAGCTAATGAGAGATTGAAGAAACTCACTGCGTCTTTTTGCTTCGTCGTCTTAGTCTGAGATAAGCCCTCCAGATCTCTCTGCACTTCAATCTCTTTCCTCTGTTCAATGCTATCCTAAGTAAAGTAGACAGCAACAGATTATATAGAGGAAATGATCAGAGAGGGGATCAGAGCCGGAAGAAAGCAAAAATATCCAGGGGCAGGATGGTATTTTCAGCTGGAATGCAAACTTGACTTTGCACAATTATTTCTCCTCACAATGCCACGTCATCTTGACTTTTTTCCATGCTGATTAAACTGCATTTGGGTCACTTCCTATTGAACTAATTGTTCATAAAACCATTTTAATGAGCTAGAATGCTTTCTACTGAGGAAAAAAAACTGAGCCTAGTTCTCATCAAATGTCCATAAAAAGGAATAAAAGAGAAGAAGATAGATGCATTAAATTTCATAATATGTCCAATTTTTTAATTCCTCAAAAAAAAAAAAAAAGCACACGGTCATCCAATATGCTCCAAAAACACCAAAAAGAGGTCCAAACGAAAAGCCAACAACCTGGGTTTGGTAGAAATGGATTGTTAGGATGGATGGTGAAGGTGGAGGGGCAGAGTGAAGGGCAAGATCATTTTAGATAACAATAAAACATATAACACTGTATTTTATTTATCAACCATAGTTCCCCTTCTACCTCGATGAAGTAAATATATTATCTACAAAAATAACGATAAGGTCCAGGAAAAATTGAGGAAAAGTCTCCCATTGAAAATGAATAAATCAGAGTAGCAGTACTATGTAGGTACAAAATTTGTAGAGTACACATCCTTTCTATATATGAAAAATTAAGTCCTTCTCACCGCTAAAATTTTTAATGGTGGACTTTTTCCTAATTTTTTTTAATATATAACTGTTATGATTTCTTCCGAAAACATTTAAATTCATTGTCAAACCATGAAATTTGATTGGAATCATATACATTTTGGTTATTCCTATTACAGGCTAGGTACTTTTATTTGTCTAAATATTAGAAGTAAATTCTTTATATGAAAAATTCTATATTTTTTTTATTATGCTTAGAAATTTATACAATCTATTTAAATTTTTAAGTTATAATTAGTTTTCAAAATTAAGCATTTTAAGCATTCGTGCCAAACATACGGTCTAGGTCTCTAATAATGGTGGGGTTCTTCTTAATTTTCTAATTAAAATAGAAAACGGAAAGTGAAGGTGAATTAATGCATTAACTTTCGCATTCATTTATATATTTTTTTATTCTTCACAATAAAGTGCTGCACGTCAAAATTCACCCAAAACATGAAATGAAAGGCGACAAGCAAATCCACCAAATCACGAAAGAAATAATATAATTTATTGAAGTGGCCGACAAACACGTCAAAAATTCACGCAAAACACGGAATGGCTGACGAGTAGAAAGGCAATAACAGAAAAGAACACTGAAAAGAGCTCACAAAACCGTGTGCTACAACTCACAAACAATGAAACCACATGCAAAAGAAGATAAGAAGGAGCCCCGTACAAAAGGGTGTGATAACCATCTTCTGCTTCAACAGTGCTAAAATTGACCAGAAGAAGGAACATGTTAAAAAGATATTTAAATGTTTTCAGAAGTGTTTTTAAAATATTTTTTATAAATAGAGATAAATTTCTTCGTATATTTATTTCATATATTATAAAATTATTTTTAAAATTATGATTTGATTTCATTTAAATAACTCTAAAAGACTTCATGCGAAGTAGAAACAGAGAGATCACCGTTAGAATTTTCAAAACTCAATTGAAGTGAAGTCATTCTTAAAATCAAAAGCAGGTGGTGACAAAAAAAAAATCAAAATCAGTTCTAGGCCTACTTCAAGCCATAAATTATCTAAAAAATATTTAGATGGAATCAAAACCATAATTTTAGAAGTATTTTTACGTATACAAAATAAATGATTGGTTTCTATTGATAAATGATTCCTTGCTGAAGCATATGGACTTGGAAGTTGCCTTGGAGATTCATTGGGCTTGGTGCCAAACGAAATAGACGTGTTTTGCGCATTGGACGTAACAGCAGACTGAAAATTTGTTTCTTATGATTAAATAATCAGCAGCGCACCGCATTCATCTTGTTGCGAAATAACACATCAAAATTCAATGTTTTGTTTGATTCAGTTTTGAGCAAAACATGAATCAAACTAAACCGATTGGTTTGTACAGTAAATAAAACAAAATTGGGCTTTTCAACAAGGACGATTTCGTTCGAGTTTTCATCATTTTATTTCATTTGTTTACTTGTTTCTTTCTTTCACATCGTGTGGAGCCCATTTTTTGTTGCTTCCAACTGTTACATATTTGACAAAAGTTTACATAAATAATTAGGAAATACAGAGTGTTATTTGAATCCAAGTTAAATGAATTAGTGAACAAGTATATTTCTTCTTGCGGTAACCCTCCTTCTAGGCTTTCAAATTAAAAGTTTATATTTATTTTCTTTTACTACCGTTTCTAAGGTCCCATGGAAACACACTCTAGCCCCCTTTATATCAGACGAAGGATGCAACCATGCCATCTAACAGTCTCCATGTCTAACAGCCTCCACTACATTCCACGTTTTGGGTGAATTTTTGATATGTTCGTTGGCCATTTCAATAAATTATGTTATTTCATGATAAAATGGGCAAACAGCAGATCCAAGAGAACTACTGCAAGAACCTGATGATATTGCAAAGAAAATTAGAGCATTTTTTGAGCCATCCTCAACAAAATTTTTGACTATATAGGGTCAACTCTTTGGAAAATAATCACGGTCGCAATTTCATCGACCACATTTGAACTCGATTGATCAAGTGTGACCCAATACATGATTCGAACCGTGTCTATATCTTCCAGCCTTTCCCAAACCTTCTGATCCACATTTGGGTCGCCACCTACTAACATAGTGTCAGTTGGGTGTCACAATGGCATATTTGAGGACGTAGTCAGTGGCCCAATGAATTGCGACCCAGGCCTCTTGGATTCGAAAGCCCATCTTCAGCCCAAAAAGTTATAGACTCTGTGATACGACACACAGAAGAATAAGACAAAGCAAGTTGCTACAAATAATGGGACACGCATCCAGAAAAAGATGAGAAGATATCTTTTAAAGCTGTATGTTACTAAACAATGCTATTAGTAAAACATGCCAATTGTGATTAGCTCTAATGTTTCCCCTCAAACGAGAGGGTGTGTTAGCCATCCTGAGTTTGCTTCCGTGGTGCTAAAATTGAGCGCAGAACAGAGCCTTCATACCATATCACCGATGGCCTTTTCAAGAATAATTCAATTTCAAACAATAGAGAACTCCACCATTTAATCTCCATAGCCCTGTCCACCAAGGCTCTATATTATTCTGACTTGGTGCCAGAACAAGAAACTGTCTATTGCTTTCTTGATGACCATGAAACAAAGTGCTTCTAGAGATATATCTCTGACTGGCCATTGATTTGTTATCATCTACATTTGAAGTCCAATCTGCATCTGCATAAGTTGTATAAGCATGTACTCCTTCTAGTTCATATTATAAAAATTCACCAATTAATTCACATATACCAATAAAAACTGCTAAAATCATTAAATTTGTCATAAAATTTAAGTGATTTTCAATATTACCTTCATTAATAACACTAAATTCTAATATCATATTAACTTCTATTCTCTCACTACCCTCACATATATGAAAAAAACATTTAATCCTGGTTGAAACTATCAAAGGATCTTATAAAAAAGACCCAGAATTTCTTCTAAAAGGAGACTCCTACAACAAGTACTAGAGCAAGTAGTTGAACAGAACTAAATGGTTTTAAATGCAACCCATAATGATAAGTGTCTTTAAGATATCTAAGAATACGCTTTACTGCTTGAAAGCAAACAGTTTGTGGTTCAGTAAGAAATTGATTGAGCTTGTTCACTTAATCAATAGGCTATGTCTGGACAAGTTGAAAGAACTACACAATCAAGCATTTTGAATCTTTTTAACAAATTAAGAGTATACTTGTCCTGATTAAAATAAATTCATGAGCCATCCTGATAAACTTCAAGTCCTAGAAAGTAATACAATGGTCCTAAATGCTTGAGTGCGAACGAAGTATTCGATATTGATAGGTAGTCAATGCCAGTCACTAAGATATCATCCCCATAGATTAAGACAAATACAATAAGAGTATTTGTTCAAAGCATAAATAGAGAGATACCACTCCTACAATTTTCAAAACCCAGTCGAAGTGAAGTCATTCTTAAATTATCAAACCAGGCCCTAAGGGCCTAGTTCAAGCCAGAAATTTTTTTAATCAGCTTACTGATATGACTAGGTTTCTATTGATAAATGAATCCTTCTAGCTGATGCATGTAGACTTCGTCCTCTTAGTAGAAAACCACTCAGAAACACATTATATATTCACATCAAGTTAAAGGTCACTGCTATGGTCAAAATCATTCGGATTGTTATTGGCTTAATTTCTGGATTGACTATTTCTCCTTAATAAACTCCAGGAGTTTGTTGAAATCCTTAAGTGACTAAATGTGCCTTGTGCTTCAGGATTGAGTGGTCAGGCTTGAATTTTATCCTAAAAACCCATCGACAGTCAACTAATTTCTGACCATTATATAGCATTATCACCCACGTCTTGTCGCGTCTTAGATCGTTAAATTCGTTGGCCATAGCTTCCTCCAATGAGGAACGGCTAGGGCTTCTTTAAGTGAAAGGGGCTATGCTATTTTGGACACAGTAAAGTTGGATCCTCATGTTGAAGAAGTCCAACAAAAGGACATTTGGGCTTGTATATACCATCGTCGGCCTGCGTAACCATCCTTTTTGGAGAAGATTGTATTCTAATTGGTGAACTAGAATGGGCTTTATTAGGTACATTCCCAAGGTCAAGGGGTTCTAGTTTCGGAAGTTGCCTTGGAGATTCATTGGGCTTTGTACATCTACACTGCCAGACGAAATGGACGTGCTCTAAAGTGTTGGACGTAACAGCACACTGAATTTGTTTCATTTTTTTGATTTGAACTTGAAAAGATTTGGTTGATAAGAATTTGGTTCTATCTTCCTAGAATGGTTTTGGTAACAACTTTAGGAAGTCAAAAACCAATTAGTTGCATATGATTTTAAATATAATCATCTCAGCAACAATAATTCCAGATTCAATAAAAAAATAATACCATATGCCTACAAATAATCTGAAAACATAATATTGATATTTTTTAAAATGTCAATTTTTATTTTTTCCATTTTTTTAAATTTATTTCCAGCATTTTTCTCTTCAAATCCAAAACTGTTTGTATTTCTAAGAATTGGAACAATTCCTAATCTAAATTTAGGTCTCAACTCAGTAACCACTCAATTCCAATTCAGCCTTAACTCAATACCAAGGGAGAAGGTGATATTGGTGAATCCCATGAGCGAGGCATTAAGTAATCCCAAGTATTGACAAGTACTATGTACCCAACATTAGGAAAGATAATACACTTGATAGGTCTTGATAGTTCTGGCCAATACACTTGATTAGTAAAAATATTTTAGGAAAGATAATACATATTTATTATAAATAACTAATTTAACTTGTTTTCTTAATCTATTCAAATTAGTTAACTAGTTTTTATATTAAGAATTGTTGGTAATATTTTATAAGAAAGAAAGAAACAAAAAAGCAGCGGCAGTGGGGATAAACGGCTAGGAAGAAGAAGAAAGAAAACGTTGAGGAGAGGAAAAAAGAGAACATAAATATTGAGAGGCTTTTTTTTTCTTCCAGGTTGCGTGTTTAGACTCTGGCCTATACTTTCTGAGACTCTTGGCAAGTGTGTTTTGATTTAATATTCATCGAACAAAATTACATTATAACTATAATTTATGGTTAATGTAATTTCTGGTTAATATAATTTTTAGTATCTTATTTTGGTTTCGATCCTTTAATGGGCAAAATGATCTAAGTTTTTAGTGGATCATAAGAATCAATGTTATAAATAAAAAAAAACTTGAAGGAATAAAACCTATGGTTTGAAATTTGAAGTACCAAAACTAAACAAAATTGAGGGACCAAAGTTTATATTAACCTTATAATTTATTAAAAATATAGACGGAAATCCTCCATGTGGAGCTACAAGAAGATAAGTCATTCTTTTTGTTTCTTTTTCCACTCTTTATAATTTTAGTTTTATAAACTTTTTAAATTATTGTTTAACTCATTTTTATTTTATCCAAAATAACTAATATAAAATTAAAGATATATTTTTTATTATATTACTACCAATAATTTGTTGTGATATATATTATTATATAAGCTTGTTAATTTGTTATGAAATTAAACTATTTAAGTTCATTTTTTTAAATTATTTGATAACTTTATATCATAAACACTAGTACATAAATATATAAATATTTTTTATTTAATTATTACATGATCCATGACCCATTCTCTTCTTCGGCTCAACGTCCGGTCCAGATTTGAAAGCCTTGCCCTCAACTCATTCACTTATCACCGCGTCATGAGTGTTTAAAATGGGTCCAAATATGAATTTGCTTCAATTTTTGTGCAGAAGATTTTTGCTCCATTTCTTTTCTTTCTTTTGGTTTTCCATCTTTATTCATTACAGAAGATATTTTTCATCCCCAAATTATTTATATTTATATTTATTATATGTATTATATATATACAACAAATATTTACTTTTCCGCCTTTATTTGCAACAGTGTAGATTGGCCATTTTCCTTATAAGAATATTGCGGAATTAATAATTTATACATTTAATTAAAAATTATGCCAAAATAAAGGTTTTGAACTTAATAGTCACACTATGATTCAAAATTATAAATGGTACTCCTTTCATGCTTAAATAAAAGAGCCAAATAAAGATGTCTACTTTGATAATAAATATAAAATCTCAATTTTTTTTTAATTTATAATTTTTTTCTAAACTCTGTCTATTAATTTACACATATTAAAAGGATTTTTCATTCAGAGGGTAATTTTCAATACATATAATTACAAGGAGTACTTAAGAAGACAACAAAGTTTTTTCATAAATAACTAAAATAATTTATTTTTAAAATTTTAAAAATTAATTATCCAATTTTTATATTTAAAAATCAATGAAGACGGCTTAGCTGCTGCGGAGGAAGTGCTGTGTGCTGAAATGTTGCTAAGAAAGCTCACCATGCGGAGAATAGCTCTCTCTCAAGCTGTCGCTTTCCATATACCCCAAAAAAACACAAAAGAATATACTAACTCCATCGTAGTTATAAGACTTCATTTAATCTATAAATGAGATTTTATAATTAAGACTATAGTTATGATTAAGACTAGAGGTAGTATAAAGGAAGAAATATTATCTTGTATAATACCATATAATACTACACCTAGTCCTTAATATAAGAGCTTATTTAACTCTTATGTTGGTTCTAAATATAAGACTTTAATTCATTTTATCTCTCATGTTTATCTATTTTGTTCTCAAGGTAGTCCTTGTAATAGTAATATTGATTAGTAAAAATATTTTAAAAAATACAATATATATTTATTAATTTCTTTAATCTACTCAAATTAGTCAACTAATTTTTATATTAAGAACTAAAAGTAATATTAATCAAATTCAAACCAAAGTGAAAAAAAAATTCACTAATATTACATGTAGACGCTAGATAACTAATTAATTTATAAAAATTAAGAAAATTAATTTAAGTCCATTATTTTGAGAAAAAATGTGTTAATTTTTTTAAAATACGTCTCTAATCATATATTGATGGAGACTCTCTTAACACATGGAATCAATGGGATTATTTTTAAAAAAAAAAAACTACAAATTTGGGAGACAAAATAACTTTAAATTTTAAAAAAATTCTCTTAACAAGCTTCCACATTTAAGATCAGAGAAAATAATAACAGTATTCATACATCACAGTTAATCCATGCAAATCCAAGAAAACAACAATATTGATCCATAGGATACAGTTCATACAAATTGAAATGTTCTCATATTGAGCCTTAAGCAAACTAAACTAGGAAAACCAGAACCAGTCAACTCCAATAGTATCCAATAAAATCAAGGATGGGGCTCTATAATATTCACAATCCATCATCACCTGTTATATATATTTGACAATAGTTAATACAAATGATTATGTACAAAAATACTCCTCCGATCCTAAATATAATTAACAATCATTTTGTAATATAATTTACATTATAAAATGGGTCTTATAGTTAGGAGCGGAGGGAGTAGTAATATAACAGAACCTAATTCCATGTTCCTAAGTTGATGTTCATAATTCAAAGTCTTGTGAGGGAAAAAAAAAACAGATAGAGCAATACTCAATTTAATTTTAATTTCAATCATAAAGATGGTTGTCAAACAGTCACAGGTGAGCCAGTTTAAATAAAAGTCAATGTTCCAATGTCCAAAAATATTGTTCCAAGAAAACGACAAAGGATATAAATGCTCGGTAGTTTATGTTGGACGAAAGCTTCAAGCCTGATTAGAAGTTTTCAATTCGTCATACGAGATATTAAAAATTAAGCCCATTAAAATAATAAAAGCATATCTTATCCAAAAAAAAAAGCATAAAAATAAAATAATATGGGCGATTAATTATGAATAAAGGTTCAGGTTCAAACTCAAACAAATAATAAAATAGAATAAAAAATTTAAAAAATTTACTTTTTATTTTTTTCGGTCACTCTTCAACATTATCCTCTCATTTAATTTATCATATTTTCTGTGATTTTCCTTCTCTCTCTATAATGTTTTGAGGCATAACAATATATTTTGCAATCTAATTATATTATTTTATTGATAAAAAAATTCTATTCAAATATCCGTGTTTCAATTTCAAATAACTAATTATAGTATGCACATAGAAGTTAACAAAATGACTGACTCATTATTCTAAAAACAATGAAAGCAAAGAAGGAAATATTAATATGATTAATCAAACTAAATGAGACGAAAAGGGAAAACTAAGTAAAAGTGAAGAATATCATACCAGGCTAATTCAAATTACGAAGTCCCAAATGCAAAAGAAGTAAAGACCATGACCAAATAAATCTGCGACAATATACAGGTAATTACTTATAAGTTATAATTAAATACGAGCAAAAAGACTAATGTACTAACCCGAATGAATGAATACCTTTACCGAAAAAGTAGTCTTCAATCAAAAACAGGTTGAAATTTAGACTGGAAAGTGGATTTAATAGCGGGGTCATCCCACTCCAAGTTGTCCCACCAGATTTGATGTCCCTCGATACGTCTCAACTTAGCATTGGCAGAATTGGAATCAAAAGGTAACTTCTTCAGCTGCCCACAGGCGTACACCACAATGGATCTTAGGGAAGGCAAAGACAGGACTCTCTCATGAATTCTCCTAAGATTTGGCAAGTGGTACAATGTCAGTTCTACAAGAGAACGGAATATAGTATCCTTCTCATCTTCTAATATTTCTCCTTTTATCACTTCTTCTATTGACCAGCACTGTTCAACAAGAAGTTGTTGAAGGAGTGGAGCATACTTCAACCATGTCAAATGGTGTATTGTACTGACCCCTCTAATTGCCACAGTTCGAAGCTTCGATAGACGGCACGTGTCACAAACAGGAGGATCTATCTCAGTAGATGAAGCAATCAAGGCAAGACTCTGCAGGTGTTCCATTTTTGACATGGTTGCCACTAATAATGGCACGTTAACTTGAACCTCAAAAAGCTCAAGGCCGTATATGCAGCTTTGCAACTTGGCTGATTTAAATAATCTGTTGAGGCTACTCTCAGATTTAATTTGCACCCATATTTCCTCTAAGTTTGATGATTGCTCCAGCTCTTGAAATTTTTTCTCTTCCCTCTCATCTTTGCCAGGGCTGGGAGGTCCGTAGGTGTGAAGTCTATACACTTTTAGTTTATGAAGATTTGATATCACTCCTAAAGAAGTATCTTCATCGTCAGATAAAGACAAATGAAGAACCTTCAGGTTTTTCAAATTCTTCAACCCTCTCCAAATGTCTGATGCATTCGTTAACATGCATCTTCGCAATGATAGATATTCCAAAAGATCTAAGCCACCTATTTCTGCAGCAGGTACATTTTGCACACCGTGTAGTTCCAAAACTTTTAATTGCTTCGCATGTTGGATGTTTTGTAATCCATTTATTGCAACAAAATCAACAACAGGATCAAAATTCAATATTAATGTTATGAGATTTGTCCAAATTCTGCAATGCAATTCTATACATGATCCATCAGCACGCCCATCACCGTTCATGATTGAAATCCTTTCAACCACTTCCCAATTTTCAACATTATCTTCAGACAATGCCCGCGCATCTTCTTGTACTACAACCTTCTTCTTTTTTGTATCATGATCTCGTGCTATCCATAACGCCATATCACGAAGGACATCATGCATCTTAATTGATTGCTCCAAAAAGATATCACCTTCAACATACTCTAACAAGCATGATAGCTTCAAGTCGTCAATTATGGATGCACCATGACGACGCGACTCATGCACACTTCTCATCCCATTGTTATAAAGAAATCCCTCTCCTATCCATTGATCAATGAGATGGTGCATTGGAATCTCATAATCCTCTGGGTATAAAGCACAATATAAGAAACATTTTTGGTGTGTTCCATCTGGTAGTTGATCATAGCTAAACTTGAGGATAGGAAACACCTCTGTCTCCACATCTGAAGCTGTCCGTGAGGAACTTCTTAAGTTATTCTTTGAGTCTTCCCATGTTTCCACACTTTTCACACCAGCCATGGCCCTTCCTACCACAGTTAATGCAAGCGGTAGCCCTTTACATTCTCTAGCCATCTCCCCTGCTAGCTTTGGAATGATAGGGTCAGATTTTAAAGTTTCCTCACCAACTTTCATACAAAATAACTCTAGCGCTTCTTTCTCTGTTAGAATTTTAACTTCAAATTTTTTTTGAGCTTCCATTTTTGCGCACACATCCTCAAATCGTGTTGTAAATAACACTTTAGACTGAAAATTAGTTTTCTTTGGATGTGGCACTCCCACTTTTTCCAAGTCCAAGCTCACCCATATATCATCCAATAACAAAACAAATTTTTTTTTCTTCAAGATTTTGTAAATCTTTGCAACTTTTTCATCTTGGTTGCTACAATGAGTCCAAAGGTCATCTCCAATCCCTACCGATTTTCTGATGCTGTCCATAATACTATCTAAGCTGGGACTTCTGGACGCCACCACCCACATAATGTAAAAGGCTGATGATCTCTTCCCAAGTTCATTATTAATTTTCTTCAGCAAGGTAGTCTTTCCTACCCCGCCCATCCCGTATAAGCCAATGATTCCAACATTTTTTTCTTCAATACTTTTCCATACCTTATCAAACATTAAATCTAAGCCCACCGTCTCACCAGAAGGCATCTCATTCCACTTATGCAGGGGCTTGAGCGCAATTTCAAAAGCCTTACAAAACCTTTCCCCTTCAGTTTCTAGTTCGTCTACATTCTTTAGAGTCTTGGCAACATCCTTTCCTAACTTGTAGCTTGACATGCAATTCTTTGGACAACATCCACTTAGACATTTGTTTTGAATCGGTTTAGTTCTACGAACTCGAATATCTTCTATTTCCTGTGAATTTAACATTGTTAATTAGCTTCATCATTCTATGCTTTCAAATCAAATTTAATTCTACAGGTGGTAAGATCTCGAACGCTAGCACGCATGGACATATATGTGCCTGTGTTTGTAATTACATAGTTGTAGATAATCCTGCTTTATTTGTTAATACGTTCTCTAATTCTAAATATAAGAGCAAGTTTATAGTACAAATTGTACTATAAATTAACTCCTATATTTGGGACCAGAGAGAATTTCAAATAAAGACAATGGTTAAAACAATATAATTAAACTATATGTTGAATTAAGGGTCATCAATACAATTTTTAGTTACTAAAATGTGACCTCATTTAATTTTGGTCCCAAAAATTTGAAACCAATGTATTTTATTCTTGAAATTTGAAATCTTATTTAGCTTACAGGGGCTAGTGTTTATAGACAGAGTAAATTTGAAGGACTGAAAATATTAGTTTCAAATTTTATGAACCAAACTCAAAATGAGATCAAATTTCAGAGATTAGATATCAAACCTTGGATTAAATAATTATATACAAGTACTAAATAAGGAAATTAATTACCCATGGATCCTAACCATTTGTAATACAAAAATTTGATATGTAAATATTGAAGTTCGACATGTAAATTTAAAGATTGAGGAAATAATTAATTTCCTTGTTTAGGATCTATTTAATGTTTTCGCTTAAATTTTTGAAGAAGCATAATTGATTGGCAGGTTGTCATTGTCTTTTCTTAGTTGTTGTCACTTTGATTTTTCACAACTTCAACGATATTCATGAGTACTGGTGTAAGGTGCTTATGGATGGAATAACGGTACTTTTTTATTTGAACACCAACTATACATGTAACATAAGAATTCATGACAGAGAAAGTCATACAAATAAAATAGATAAAAATTAGCAGCAATCAAAATTTGGCAAATATTAAAAGTTTCCTGTAATCTTGAAAGACAAAGATAAACAAATGCAAAATATCCACCAAAAAATAGCATATAATCCATAAAAAATATAATCAAATTGACATTTGATAAGTAAGATAAATTTATAAAATAAAACATTAGGACATGGCCGCGTGGCCATCTCAAAAATTTTTGGAACGGAAAGATCCGTAATATTTATCGAACAACTTCTCATATTTAATATTTTAGATTCATTTATAGATTATAGATTTGAAATTTTTTAATTTCATTTTAAATAACTATGAAATGTAAAATATAATATATTGGAATAATGTTTTTTATTTTAACTATATTAGCTGGTAAAAAAATTATAGTTCCCATTATATAAATGAATTATATAACAAAAAAATAACCATAAAATCTAACTAATATGACTGATTTCGATTATAATTGAATTTCATTATGAAGGTTTCTTCTTGCAACTAATGGACTCTAAAATTAATTTAAAAATTAAATTAGCTTAAGAAAGTTAGTTAAACAAAAAGCAGAAGCAAATAGATGTGTAGTGTCTTACTGTCATAGCTTTGAAATCAATTTTGAAAATTAAATATAATGCGAAGTACCTCTTGAGTTCTCTCGATTCTATTCAGCCACCCACTCACTTGGTGAGACCTTTGCTTTTCTCCTGCTTTTTCTTCTTCTTCGAGAATTGCTTCCACATCTTTCTTCATCCCTTTAACCTTCTTCCATTTTTCTTCCAGCGATTGCAGATTCTCTTCCAAGTCGTAGATATAAGCAGCTTCTTGGTTGAGGTAACAACAGCAACACTTGATCATTTCCCATAGAGGTCCAGTGATGGAAGATGGATCCATATATTGTTAATGGATCTCTGATCGATTGAAACTCACTAGACTACTTCGTCTTCTATCTTCCTTCTCTGGGATTATGTTTCCACAGAAAATTTCAGACCCAGAAAGTTAAGCTTAGGATAATGTCTAATAGCAACCCTCCAGATCTATGCTACGATAATGCTTTTCTGCTTAACTCAGGAATGGATAAACGAAAACGAAAGAAAAAGAAAGAATCAGATATAATGCTTTCTTCTCACGTTAAGCATTCGTGCCAAAGACGGTCTTGCTCTCCAATAATGCTGGTCTTATATATATTCTTTTTGCATCCAACACTCTCAGTCACGTCTAGCATCTTCATCTTATTTGTAGTACGCCCAGCATGCCTTGATGTTATTTTTATATTGTGTATTTGGTATCATAATCTTATTTATGATTCAAGATATTGGATATATTATAAATCAGATTAAGATGTTAAAAGTATTAGAAAAATAATATTATTAGAATGTTGGGTGCCACTAGAAAATAACATCAAAGTCTTGGATCCTACTTTACCCTTCTTGTTAAAAGAAAAAACGCACAGAGAGAGAGAGACAAGTAGTAAAGAACAACTAGGCATAAAGCTTTCTGATTTACAACCAAGGAAAGTATAAATAGAAAAAGAAAAAGGAAAGGAAAGGAAAGAAAAGAAAGAAAATAGACTAATAGAGGGATGAAGATGGATCGATGCATTAAATTTCCCATTAATTTATACATTCTTTTATTTCTCACAACATAAATGGGGCACATCAAGATTGACCCAAACCATGAAATAAAATTGTTCGTTGATGTAACAAGGATGCTCAAAATTTGGTTTGATTCTGTTTTGAGCAAAACCTGAACCAAATCCAATCAACTCGGTTTACATAAGAGAAATAAAATTTAATTTATTTTTTAAAAATATATAAGAACGATTTGGTTCCAGTTTTTATCAGTTTACTGTATATAAGTGTGGAAATAATAATAAATCTATAGAGAATACATGAGTATGTATATAGTATATAATATAACTACCAATAAAACACTCCTTGTCCTTTTTTCCATCTTTCTTCTCCAAGCTTCTTAGTACTTCTTCATTCAACAGACACGCATATATTCTTCGCTTTAGCTTTTGTCTCTTACTTCATGATGAATTAACCATTGTGAATTAGATACCGTTGCTAGATCTCATAACGATGTGATGCCCTTATGTTTGCCAAGCACATGTACTCTTAGGTTACGATTGGTAGCAAACATTGAAAATAAAGGATTGAGATTAGAATTACAACTTAGAAAATCTATTAAAAGAGTAGTATAAGAAATTGTTTGATATATATCCAAACTCATGTATGTGGGATTGGAGAATACCATAGGAGAAAGTGGTATTCCCTAATCCCACCTCTATGGGTTTGTCTATTTCTATTTTAATGATTCTTTTTTCAATTACAATTCCAATTCTAACGTCTCATTTTTAATGTTTCGTACCAAACGACATGTTAGTTCATCGCGTATGACCTCAATACTTATTCCACCAGGGCCACTGTATAATTATGGGCCTTTTTGAATGAGTCCACTTCATCAGTGACCTCACCCAATTCTTCTTCTGCTCCATCTGCCGCCATTAACTCCCCATCTTTCATTCCCACATATTTTGACTCCTTAATGCTATCCTCCAAAGAAATCATGTACAGATCGCCACTTTTCATCTTGTTGCCTAGTATATCTCGTGTTCTTTTCTCAACTCTCTTCCTCAACTCTTGCTCTTTCAAATTCACATTCACGGCTTGATCCACTACACTAAGGGCACGCTCTCTGTTTTCTGTTTTTTTAATTTCTCGCTGTCGCTGCTTTGTCATTATCCCCTTTTTCTTCCCCTCACAAAATATACAACGTTAGTGCATTGGGATTGAGGTAGTCGTGCCTCATTCTCATGCACATCAGTACTCCGTGCCTCCCCTAACGTACCCGCCTCAAGTACAAGCTCCTCCACATCTGCAAGGATGCTAGAACACGACCCCAGATGATCTTGTTGTGTTTAGTCCCCCTTGTTATCTTTACTTTTTTGATGCTAGCAATTCCTTTACACTACTCGCCATTGATCCCGGTAGGGTTCATTAACTTGCACATCTTGGTCTTTCAGCATTTCCTAGTTCAATCTCCCTTCACTACTTTCTCCTTTATTGTTCTCCCCTGTTTTCTTTCTACGGGGACATGTTTCACTCCTATGACCATAGACACCATAGTTAGTGCACAGCATATGGAGTCGTACTCCAAAAAATATTCCTCATCTTCTAATTTAAATCCCTACATTAATTGTTTTCCAAGATCAACAAGGACACATATACGAGCATAGTGCCCTCTTAACTGGCAGGAAGTATTAAAATCAACTTAAATCATTTCCCCAATCCTATTTCCAATAATAGTAAGAGCTTCCTGGTCATAATACTCTAAGAAAGCACTTGGCATTCTCACTTACACTGCTTCCTTATCTATTCTTGCTCTTGAAGGAATAAAACGTGGTTCTCATGGCCTCACTGTCAAATAATGGTCATAAATCATCCATGGACCCCCTAATAAAACATTAAAATAATCCTCTCTGTTGGAAAGGTTAACCTCAAAATAACCATATCCAATGTTGATGAGGTTGAGAACTCCTCTTTTGCCTTAAAGAGTCTTTAGCCAAGTGAGCAAAGCTTCGCAGCCAATGCTTCTATCAAGCAACTTCACAATAATAGCCTTGCGCCAAGCTCTGTAAAGTCTCTTCTTCATTCTCCCTAAAAAGGAAAAAGTTGGAAAGTTTCTAGTTAGATCCTCAGTCGTTCTAAAGAGAAGCTCTTAATTGTCTTTGTCCAGAGATTTTTCTGATATGTCATCATCAGAAAGATCATCATTCAACTTCTCATTATCGTCTTCAGAGCATTCTTCATCTCTGTCATTGCCTTTCGACTTATCAGCAAAGAAAGGTCCACCATGGCTACAAGTGGCACTCTTAGAAGGCCTAACATGATGAGTCTCCTTTGTTTGTAATTTAGGCCAAGTCCCATGGAGAATGTTGTCTTCATTTCCTTGATACGCATTCTTGATTTCTTTGGAACTTCGCATAAGCAGAGCATGTTCTCCCTGAGAAGGAGGAATTAGTGTTCTTTTTCCTATAGAGCATGAGAGCCATCTTTTTAATTGGCGGACCAAAAAAATTTATTAGTGGGGCAAAAATTATACCAAATATAAGCATTAGGATAAAGTATAATTGTAATACCTTAACTTTATACAAAATTTCATTTTGGTTCTTTAATTTTAAGAAGTATAATCTTTTAGTCTTTTAACCTTAAAACCATTGACAAAAAACAATGATATTGGGATATTGAATATTGATAAAATATTTTTAAATGCTAACATATTAGGTTTAATTTTTATAAAAACCATAATTGTTACAAAAACTTATTATTGAATACTAGCGATTTCAGGGTTAAAAAACAAAAAAATATATTTTTTTAAATTAAGAGACCAAATTAAAATTTTGTTTTAAGATAAAGCGCTAAATATATACTTTAGCCTGAGTATTAATATTTTTCAAAATGAAATACTAAATTTTTATTAAATTATTATAGAAGTAAAAATTGTTATAATTTAAGACAAAGGAAAGAATACAACAATTGTCAAATTATAATAATTTAAAATTACAATTAAATAAGTATTAGCTATTGAAATAATAAATCGTTATTATCGTTTAGAAAATAAAAGTAAAAATTTTATTTGAAGAATATTTTATAACATTTATGCCTACTACAAAATCAACAATATAAATAGCATTACTTTTCCTGGTTGAATGACGGAGAAAAGGATCAAGTGGTGAAGATTTTAAATTTAAAAGAAAAACTAAAGTAGGGAGGAATATTTTAGCAATAAAAATTTTCTTGCGAATGACTTATATTTGCTGAGTGATATGATCAACGAGGTTCGGTCCCAATAAGCTCTTTTTTTTTTTCCTTGGTGGCTAAACTCTGACTTAACACCAAGGAGATCAATACTTCCTTCCATAAAGAGCCTTACGGTGTAATTTGAAGACTCGCATGATTTTTTTTTTTTTGAGTGAAACTCGGATGATAGTTATTGTTGAATGCAAATCATCCATTTGCAGATATATGCCCCGATAATTACTTTTAAACTAAAAAACCAAGTGAGAAACCATGTCTCACAACAGTCTAGATTATCCTCTCGGTTTTTTTTTTTGGGTCAAAGATTATCCTCTCAGTTTGTCCATTTGACCTACGGTGGCTGGTTGTGCCAAATTGCAATCGAACACGATATTTTTGGTACTCCATGGAGTCCTAAAATTTCCTTAACATACAACCATGTCAGTATACATCTCTAGGGGATGGTTAGCATAATAGGCAAGAAGTTTGTCGCTTTAGTTAATTGGTTTGCAATCACTCAGGTCGCATCAAAATTTAATGTAGTTCCCATCCCATAATAAAATTCATAGAAATATTATATTGTCTCATTTCTACTACAAAGTTTCAAAAAGTTGGAGTAATCCAATGCTTTATTTTCAGCCTTTGATAATGTAACATATTCTACTTATGTTTGGTATGAGAGAAATGAAAGTGAAAGAATGGGAGAAAAAATTTCAATAAATTCGATTTAAAAAAATAAAGAAGTAGAATTAAAACATTTTAATTAATTTTTCCTACGTTTTCATCTTACATGCTCTCTATCAAAATTTTATAACATCACTTCTCTAGTTATTTAAATTGAGATCATTAAAATTTTCACTGCTTTTTCTTCCCTTCCAATTCCTTCATACCAGACATAGAGTAAATCTTAATACATTTTGGTAGTTCTCAGTAGGGGTGTGCATGAAGCCCAAATACCAGTCGAGGTCGAAGAAAAATTGGCCAGTCCAACCCCAAAAAAAAGGGGCCAAAAAAAGAATGAACATCTTTTGGCTGGGCATTTCATGGGCAGGGCTGGGTATTGAGCAGGACATGCTGCCCTGCCCATTTGGCCTTGCCCGAATTTTATATATATAAATATATATTATAATTTATGAAATAATATTAATATATTACATTTCTTTACCAAAAAAAAAAGTTATCTCCCTCTTCTTTGCAATTTAATTTATTATTGTTACATGTCTGTTAGTTTTCATTTTAGGAGATCTAATTCTCCTAAAGAAGCAATAGTATCTTGCTTTTAATTTGTTCTTTGTGAGCTTTATTGGGTATATCCTATTGTATCTTGCTATTTTAATGTTGACTATTTATAAGTCAGTCTTCCCCTCTATGCCATTAACAACTTTCTTTGTTAGAGAATGGAGTTCATACATTACATATTTGTATAAATCAATAATTTTGAATATTTATATAGGATAGAAAAACAAGATTAGGGTAGGAGTAGGGAAAGAAAATTGGAATTTAATTATCCGAATTACGTGTTTTATTTTTTATTTAATTTATATTTAGTTATTTTGTATTAATTTTTTATGAACAAGTCATATAATGGAAAGAAGTCTTTTAGTTGTATGGACTGTTAACTGTATTGTATTGCATAATAAGTGTTTGCATATTAAAAGTGGTTATATTAAATTATTATAAGATTTTAAGATTTTTTCTTTTTCTTTTTACAATTATTTTCACCTATTTTTATATGGTTTATATTATTCCTGTTAGTCTATTGTTTCAATTTTAATATCTTTTTTGCAATTCTTTAGATAACATTTAATTTTTTCCACTTAAATGGAAAATCAAGCTTCTATTACATTGTCATCTCCGACCCTCAATGAAATATCTCAATGTGCTTTAACCCCTTTTCAATTTTTTCAAATGTTCTATTTTTTTCTCAACTTTCTGAAGATTGATACAAACCGTTTGAATTTTAAGGCTTTAATTACAATCTTGAGAGTTATTTTGTTCTAAATGGATTATGAATATTATTTATTTGGATATTTGCTAAGACTTGTTTTGAATTATTTCTGGATAATTTTAATGTGTGAAAATGTAAAATTATAAAATGTAGTTTTCAGATATGGACGAAAGTTTTTTCACATGTTATATCGGCAGGTTATCACCATTTGGGCAACGAAGCCTGCCTTGCCCAACCCAAAATGGTTAGGGTTTCTATAGGCCAGGCACCGGGCTGTAAAATACAACCCGCTCATATTTCGGGCTGGGCATCGGGCAAGGGTCCTGTCTTACCCGACCCTGCCCATGTGCACCCCTAGTTCTCAGGTAAATGGCATATATATACCAACTCTTATAAATCTCTTCCAATATGGCATTTCTCAACTACTCCTCATGAGCATGCACGCAATTTCACCCATATGGTGCCATATAATCCCACTAATGACCAACACAAAGTCATGCAAATTCTCTTATCCTAAGTAAATATTGTCATATGTCCTTGAAGGAAAAATAACGTAGATAGAGAAAGCAAACGTAACGGGTTAGTTCCAGGTCATGATGTTGGTAGCTCACGCAGTATCTTAACTATTAGAGTCTTGATAGAATGGCACAGTAGATGCACCAGAGAACAGATAAGAGAACACCAGAAAACTCAACAGTTTAGAGTGAAGAGAATGGGTGGAGGCACCTCCTATTTATGGGGCCAGGGTGGCCCTTATTTCAAGAAGGTGCAATCTCCCTCATTTATCATGGGATAATATTCTGATTCCACAATCGACAATTAATGTCTAATTGATTTCTCTCCAATCAATCAAGTACTTAATGTTTGAATGAATATTCCCTAATCAATCATTAATTGCTTCAGATTTGTGATTAATTTTCTTGATCTGAGAGATTCTCTTCTTTTAGATCAAGTAGTCTGACCCATCAAGTGTGGACTTGGGCCCAATGTCTAACAATCCTTTAAGAAGGCATTTTGTATAAATATTGTACTAATCACTAGCACCTCAGACGAACAAGAAATATACAAATTAGCATCCTAAGACGCTCAACTAGCTAGAATTTGTGCATAATCATAATGGCCATGTCAATGGGCCCAACTTCCTATTTAAGGCATCCATCATCACAATAGCCTTGTACAGGTGGATGTGTAATTATAGTTTTTTAATGCCTCCATCTATCTTCGTCATTGTCTCAGACATTTGTAATTCGTGGTCTAGTTAAAAAACATTTTGCTTCAAACATAGGAGTTGCTAAGAATCATGTTTAACTCCTTTTGATCAAACAAGTATGTCAAATTTTCGTTATCACTAGACACTTCGAATTGGATATTATACAAGTGGTGTCTCCGAACCATTAAAATAATAAACACCAAATAAGTTAGCTCCAAGTCATAAGTAGGATTCAGAAGGCGTAACACACAACACGTCTATGAGACAAATTCATTAGAAAACTCTAAGTTGCATAATTCTTTTTTCGATTACTTGAAGGCAAAGGCCACGACCTAAGCCTTTCTTTGAGGCATACATGATTATACTCCGTGTACGAGTCTCCTTTGGATTAGTTTGAGTATAAATGTCAATCTTACCTGTAGCTCTTGTAACATAACCTTTCACATTTTTCATCCCAATCAAATTCAAAAGGTTGATATTGGTTAATAGCTAGTTGAGAAAGCCTCTTTATAAAACATTTTATGATATCCTGACAACACAAGGAACTAATATTTCTATGATCAATCGAGGTTTGTTGCAATTCAACATTGCCTTTACCTTATTAAAGTGCACTACTTCTCTTTCTGTTGAGATCATATGCTTAAGAAATTTTCTTTCCCTCAACATGGTTCTTTAGCATGCTCCCCTTTTTCTCTAGAGTATATTAGAAGAGAATGTGAGGGAATATGAGATAGGAAATAATTATGATTTTACTATATTTCTAGGATATTTGAATTATTTGGGTTTATTATGATTTTATGATTTATTTAGATTTATTGGTATTTTAATATTTTTATTAGAATTAGTCATTATTATTTTCATTTTTATTATTATTTTATATGAGTAGATCTAGGATTTCCATTCTCCGTACGGACTAGACTTGAATTATTGAATTACATTGATGGTTACTTTTCTCTCTGAAATTTCTCTCTGTTATGTGGTTTCTCTGATCTTTTCCCTTCTCCTCCCTCCTTTCTCTTCTATCTTTTTCCTTTTCCCTACTCGTTGTACATTAGAATGTCACTAAGGAACATGGCTATCAATTTATCCAAATAGGGATGAAAGACATGATTCACATAGTCCATAAATTTTGTCGAGACATCAGTCAACCCAAATAGTATGATAATGAATCCATAGTATCTATGACAAGTCCTTAAAACTGTCTTGGGAATGTCCTCAGCGTAGACCTTTAATTGATTATAACCTCGATTACAAGTCAGTATTTGAAAACATTGAAAGTTTAGCCATTTGATAAATTAAATAATCTATTTCTTAATGCATAACTTAAAGTTAGTGTTCTTCTATTTGACAAACAAAAAAACATAACACACCATGGGGACACCCTAGATTTAAAAAATCCCTTTAGAAATACTATTTTTAATTTTTCCTTAATTTAGGAGCTCGTTTGACTTTTAATTTAGTCATAAATATAAAACTTTAATCCACTTAGTGTCTCATATTTTATTTATTTTTTCAAAATAATTTTTGTAGTAGTTGCATATGTTAAAAATTCCATCAACTAGTAATTCTAGTTAATATACATGATTAGTAAGGGTATTTTACAGAAAATAACATCTATTTATTACAAATCACTAACCTAACAAACTTCTTTAATTTACTCAAATTAGTCAATTAACTTTTATCAACGTGCAAGTTGTACCAATGTCATGTGGGAGGGAGCTCTAAATTGGGTTGTGCTAAGATTCAGGTTTATGAGAAATTCCAGCTCCCTTTCTAATGGTACCGTAGTGATCTCCTTAGAGAAAACCTGAAGTACTAATCACAATTGGAATGTTCTCCAAAGTTTAAACTTGCACAAAAATGAATACAAGAAAGTATTGACATTCATTCCGAAGATACCGGTAGCTTGAGCAAAAGACAAATTATACAACTCCTCAAAGCGCTTATTAAAAAATGACTTACCATATAAAAATGTGCACAGTATAATCCAAACATGCACAAAGAAATCGATACACATATCTCTCAGGGTGGAGACACAACAATTTGTTGGATGATTTTCATTCAAATTAATAATTCTTTCACAGTTTAAATTAATCTATGAGAATGAGACCTACAAATGAAATTTAGTTAGTTGTTTTCTTTTAGTCAATTATAAATTTTGAAGTTTATCTCATAAATTGTGAAGGAGGGCTTTTAAATTTTTACACATCTTAACAGCTTCACATTTTACTTGTTAAAAACACTTTAAAATATTTTTTCCAGCCCTCAATATTCTAATTTAATTTGTGATTTATCCAGTGCTAAATGTGTTTTGAAGCGTACCAAATATCCTAAAGTATTCTTTATGCAATTTGTCTCTAAAACTATTTTCGGCAACAGGAATAAACACTCTAAATTTATACTGAAAAGGTATTTTTAAAGAAAATAATTTTTAAATATTAAAGGGTTAAAGGGACAATTCTACTGCTATCTTATTTTCTAAGTGTACTGATTTTTTAATAGTACAATTTTATTTATGATTTTTTTTCTCAGTTTTACCCATATTCTATCATAAATAAATTTGCATCACTAAAAATTGGGTTTTTGCTGTTAGGTATACCGTATACCTGAAAAAATAAAATGATAAAAATTATTTTAAAATATTTTTAAGTTAAAAAAATAATTTTCCTTGAATTTGTGCAGGCCAGTTCTACTGTGATCTTTTCACCCCACCACCATCACCTCTCTGCTAAACTGAATTGCGTCCCCGATGAATCTTCCATTGCCTCCAGAGTCCAGATCCGTAGCCATGATTCTTATTTTCAATTGTCGACAACACGAACTATAATTCTTCAATTCGGTCCTGAACTCAACTTCTCTCAATGGACATTCTCTTCGCTGAGATCCAAGCAGACATTCGCTCCAATGACGCGCTTCGGCAATCCGGGGCTCTTCTTCAAGCTCTCCAACAATCTGCCGCCGGCCGTGACATCTCTGTCATTGCCAAATCCGCCGTAGAAGAAATTGTCGCCGCCCCTGCTTCCGCAGTCTGCAAAAAGCTAGCTTTCGATCTCATTCGCTCCACTCGCCTCACCCCTGACCTATGGGAGACCGTCTGCGGTGGCGTCCGCTCTGATTTCCACTTCCCTGATCCCGATGTCACTGCTGCTGCTGTCTCCATTCTGGCCGCCATTCCTTCTTACCGTCTTGGTAAGCTCATCACGGATTGTAACAAAGAGATCTCTGACTGTTTTGACTCGCCCAGCGACAATCTTAGGTTCTCGATCACAGAGACCCTAGGCTGTGTGCTCGCTCGCGATGACCTTGTCACACTGTGTGAGAACAACGTCAATTTACTCGATAGGGTTTCCAGTTGGTGGACGCGTATTGGGCAAAACATGCTTGACAAATCTGATAATGTTTCAAAAGTTGCATTCGAATCTGTTGGGAGGTTATTTCAGGAGTTCAATTCCAAGAGAATGAGTAGGTTGGCTGGTGACAAGCTGGTTGACAGCGAGAATTCGCTCGCTATTCGATCCAATTGGGTTTCATCTATGGTGGACTTTGTGTGGAAGAAGCGTAACGCTTTGATGGCTAGGTCTCTAATATTGCCCGTGGAGAGTTTTAGAGTAACAGTGTTCCCTATTGTATATGCAGTGAAGGCTGTAGCTTCGGGTGGGTATGAGGTTATTCGTAAGCTTTCAAAGTCGTCTGGTACTGTGACTGGGAGTGTTGAGGTTGATTCCAATGCTGAAAAATTAGTGGGAGTTTCAGATGTGGTTTCGCATTTAGCACCATTCTTAGTTTCTTCACTGGAACCGGCATTGATTTTTGAAGTAGGGATTAATATGTTGTATCTGGCTGATGTGCCTGGAGGAAAGCCTGAATGGGCATCACAGTCAATAATTGCAATTCTTACACTGTGGGATAGACAAGAATTCTCTTCAGCCAGAGAAAGTATAGTTAGGGCTGTTGTCACGAATCTTCATCTCCTTGATCTTCATATGCAGGTGACTCTCCCCTGTCTAAACATGCTTTACTCCAAAGTGACAGTATCTCTGTTCATACGTTTTGCTCTGTAGTTTTTGCTGTTCCTGAATGCTTAACCAGCCTCCTACTAAATGATACGGCAACTTGAAACAATTAGCTTGGATCAGTTGTGCGAAATTTTGGTAGCTTGCATGAGATCTCAGGCTGATTCCTGCGGGCTAAAAGAAAGTAAAGGACCGCATTAACCCGAAAGCATTATGTCAGAGTATTACTGGTTTATGATGCTTGGAAACTTATGATAGTACGTAGCTAGATTTTTTGTTGTCTTTATTATTAACATATAATGTCGTTTGTATTTATTCTGACTCATTTTTAATGGCTATTATGTTTATAGTTTGTCTGCCATTTATTTTGTGCTAAGGGATTTATACGAATATAAATTTTGATGGTTTCGTAGACAAACTCAATAATGCTTTGATATTTCAATGCTTATTTTGGGTGAAAAAGACATCCACTAATTATTTATTAATGATCATGTGCAGGTATCATTGTTCAAGAGGCTACTTTTAATGGTGAGAAATCTAAGAGCAGAATCCGATCGCATGCATGCTTTAGCTTGTATATGTCGAACAGCTCTCTGTGT